TATTCTTTTAGAGATGTGTTGCTGTGTTACCCATGCTTGTCTTGAACTCCTGGCCTTAAGCGAACCTCCTGCCTCAGACTCCTAAGTAGCTGGAATTACAGACACAAGCCACCATGCTGCTTAAGTTTTACTTTTATACTACTTCCCAGAACAAGATATAGAATATTTTCAGCACCAAGAAGATTCCCTTATGCCCCCTCCCAGTTAATATCCCTCACAAAGATAACCACTATCCTGTCTCCATACCTTACTTAGTTTTATCTATTCTTGAACTTTATATATATAGAATCATATAGCATGAACTCTTTTGTATTGGTTTCTTTAACTCAACATTAGATATTTTAGTTTAATTCAGATTACTGTCATCTACTTTTTGATGTTTGCTTTATATTTATATGGTTTGATGAAATGATTTATTTTTTATCTAAGATTTGACTCTCAAACTCGCACATCAAAAATGTGTAACTGTTGCATACTACTGCCACCTGGTGTTAGGCAATCTAAAATGCAGGGGCAATATTTCAAAATGGTTCGTTTCACAACACAAATCCCTCTACAAAATTACAAAATAGAAATGATGTAAACAGCAAAACCAAATGAGTAAAGAATAAGTCCTTTAAAATTTGAAAGTATAAAACAAAAATCATATGGGCCCATTCAGTTATGCTATAGCTTTAATGAAACTTACCTTTTTAAGTTCATGCAGTTTTATTAATAAAAAACAAGATTTACTGGAATTGTAGGAGGAGGTAAAATCAAGAGAAGATGACATGGGGAGAGTAAACAAAAAAACTTGGAATTCTATCAAGTTTGCATCATATCTATTTCTTTTCTTTTCTTTTTTTTTTTCTTGAGACAGAGTCTGGCTCTGTTGCCCGGGTTAGAGTGCCGTGGCCTCAGCCTAGCTCGCAGCAACCTCAAACTCCTGGGCTCAAGCAATCCTTCTGCCTCAGCCTTCCGAGTAGCTGGGACTACAGGCGTGCGCCACCATGCCCGGCTAATTTTTTCTATATATTTTAAGTTGTTCAGCTAATTTCTTTCTATTTTTAGTAGAGACGGGGTCTCGCTCTTGCTCAGGCTGGTCTTGAACTCCTGAGCTCAAACAATCCTGCCGCCTCGGCCTCCCAGAGTGCTAGGATTACAGGCGTGAGCCACCACACCTGGCCATTATATCTATTTCTTAAAATCCTCAGGGAAACAAGATTTCAGTAGTGGTATTCAGTGCATGCTATTTATTAAGCGTGAGGATAATTACCTTTTCCTCTGCATCAGCAACTTTAGATTTCTCCTGAGCCAGCTTTTCCTGCAGGTTGTTCTGTGATTTAATGCTCTGAGTCTGTTTAAGTACTTCCAGCTCCAGTTCCTTGATTTTCTGCTGACTGTGCTTCCACTCTGCTGTGAGTGAAGAGCACATCTTTGCACTGTCTAATAACTTTTGTTGGGCGTGCTTTAGTTCGATTTTTATCTAGAGGTGGAGAATAAACAAAAGTGATAAAAATAAGCATGGAACGAATGTGAGCCAGAATAAGCAAAGGAGTGCAGTCCCCCCAAACCTGACAAATATCAATGTCGCATGGCTGATTACCCCTCTGGAGTTGCCATGTGTTAGTAAGGTTTGCCAAAATTTATTTAGACAGATGGCAGCTGGATAAGGAAATTTCTAAGAGTTTCTATATATATGTGGGCTAAACATTTTTCATGCTTTCTTCAATCTACTCCAAGCTGGCTTTCATCCCCACTACTCCAATGAAACTAAAACTGTTTTTGCCAAGGGCACTGACTGACCTCCCCATTGCCAAAATAAACCCAGTGGACAATTGACCTCTCAGAAGCATTTACTCCTTCCATCTCAGAAGTTCTGTTGTCTTGAAGTCTACGATACCAAACCTGCTGTTTTTCACTTATGTCTCTGCTGTTCCTTCTTGGTTTCCTTTGTAGATTCTTCTAATGCTACCCAACTTCTAAATATTATTGGACTCCTCCAGGCCTAGAGAGATGATAATTCTCTCCCTAGGTTCATTCGTATGATGAAATGCCATTTTATGTCAATAACCCATAATGAAACTCCTTGATTTTGCCCATATCTCCTAAGTCCTTTTTCTCTATCTTCCTGATTTCAGTCAATGATGTCACCACCCATCCTTTTGTGCAGGCCAGTAACCTGAAAGTCATCCTTGAGTCTTTCTTTTCCATCATGAGCCAATTCCAATCATTTAACACATGCTGCCACTCTATCTCCACGACGTATCTTGCATCACTCCATTTGTGTCATTTTTTGCCACCACCCTCGTCTAGGTCACCATCTCCAGCCTGGGCTGTAGGAATAGCTCTGTATGGTCCTACCACTTCCATTTTTGCTCCCTTCTAATCCATTCTCATACAGAATAGTATTGTTTTAAAAACACAAATTGAACCATTTGACTCCCTTGCTTAAAATCTTTCAGTGGCTTCCCATCACTCTGGGAACAAATCCCAGCAGCTTGCCTGGCCTTGTATGATCTGGCCCTCGCCCACCTCCTAAAACCATCTTGCTATTTCCCCTTCTCCCACTAAACTCCTTTCACGCTGGTTTCTATTTAGAGTTTCCACATTTCTCTCTGCCAAGAATGCGTTCCCTTTTCCCTCCTCATTATATGGTTGTCTGCCTGTTCTTCAGGTCTTAGCGTAAATGTCACTTTTCAGGAGAAAAATTTCATGATCATTTAATCTGAAGAGGTATCCATTCTCGTCATTTTGCTGTTCCACATAGATTTCCTTCATTAAACTTATCATAATTTATAATTAAGCCTGCATTTATCTACTTATTATCATTCTTCCCCACTTTAAATTCCAAGAAAGCAGGGACCAGGTTTTTTATTCACTTCTCAATACTCAAGGCCTATCAAAGTGCCAGAGAGTAGTAATCAATATTTACTGAGCAAGTAAATGAATGATAGTATAAGAAATATCAACACCTGGTCAATGTATGTACTAGGCAGGAAAGGCTCACAGACAAAAATGGTGAGAGAATTTCCTTTATTCTCATGGAAAACAGAATTCCTTGGTCCCAAAGTTTTTCAACTGAATTAACGAGGATTATAACTATTAATACAATATCCTCCATCTGTGATGTCTGTGTATTAATCAATCAGATTATATCAAGTGAATCTAAAAGTTAATAGTGTTCAACCTCTTGAGTGTTATTTTCTTTGTTTTTTTTTTTTATTTTCCTGAGACATAGTCTCGCTCTATTGCCCCTGTTGCCCAGGCTACAGTGCTATGGAGTCAGCCTAGCTCACAGCAACCTCAAACTCCTGAGCTCAAGGGATCCTCCTGCCTCAGCCTCCCTAGTAGCTGGGACTACAGACATGTGCCACCATGCCTGGCTAATTTTTTCTATTTTTAGTAGAGATGGAGTTTTGTTCTTGCTCAGGCTGGTCTTGAACTCCTGAGCTCAAGCAATCCTCCCTCCTTGGCCTCCCACAGTGCTAGGATTACAGGTGTGAGTCACCACGCCCAGCCTTCATTTGTAATATGGGGAATATAATAACTACTTATCTCATAGGATGGTTCTGAGGCTGCATTAAATAAGACAAAGCGGCTGGGTGTGGTGGCTCACGCCCATAATCTTAGCACTCTGGGAGGCTGAGGCAGTAGGATTGCTTGAGCCCAGGAGTTTGAGGTTGCTGTGAGCGAGGCTAATGCCACAGCACTCTAGCCCGGGCAACAGAGCAAGACTCGGTCTCTATATACATACGTACATACATAAATAAACAAAAAGACAAAGCAATTAAAACATCAACAATAGAGCCAGACACATAGGAAACACCTAATAAAAGTTAACTGTCATAATTTACGAATCACTTATAGAATACCTACTGTATTTGAAGTGTAAAACTGAGGCATATGCTATTAATAATATTACTATTAATATTTTACATTTGATAGGCTTTCACATCCATGAAGTAGGATAAGTATTTTACCCCCTTTTAGAGATGAAAAAAACTGAATCTCAAGTAGAGTTTGCAAATGATAGAGCCAAGCTCTGAATACAAATTTTCTTATTCTAATCCAGTACTCCATATTATATTAACTCTAAACTGTGAAATACGTGTATTTATTATTTCTCTAAAAAGAATACAATAAAGTAGATCAACAAAGCTAACTTTAGTACTTTCAAAATCTAATAAAATAAACTTCTAGTGAGACTGTTCAAGGAAAAAGCAATAAAATACAGATTACTAATATCATGAAAGCAAAATGACCATCACTATATTTTTTCGAAAATGAAAATATAATGAATAAGTTTCTGTAAAATTTTTTAAAATTTAAATGAAATGGAAATTTTTCTAAAAAAATAAAATACATCAAAGTTGATATAAGAAGAAATAAAAAGGACTTTGACTTCTTATAACTATGAAAGAAACAGAACCAGTAGTTGGAAACCTTCCCAAAAGAAAATTCTAGAATCAGAAGGTTAAAGGAATGGGGAGAGTTCCTGTAATTATTTAAGAAGAAATCATTGTGATTTTACATAAACTCTTCCAGAGAATGGAAAAAGAGGGTGCATTACCCCTCTCATTTTAAAAGGCTATTTTATGGATAACCTTACCAAACTCTGACAAGGGCATTACAAGAAAGGAAAATGGTAGGCCAGTCTTACTCACAAAGAAAGATGCAAAAATCCCCAAGAAACATTAGCAAGTCAAATCCAGCAATACAGGAAAATAATGATAATTTATTACAAAGTTGGGTTTATCCCAGGAATGCAAAGTTGGGTAAACATTAGAAAATTGATCAATGTATAATAATTCAGCATATTACAGATTAAAAAAATTTTTAATTTTCTCTAAATATGCAGAAAAAGAATTTGATAAAATTCAATATGTGGTAGGTATAGTGACTCATGCCTATAATCCCAGAACTTTGGGAGGCCAAAGCAGGATTGCTTGAGGCCAGAATTTCGCAACTAGCCTGGACAACAAGGCGAGACCCCATTTCTACAATATTCTTTAAAAATTAAAAAATAAAATAAAACAATCCAACATGTATTTATCATAAAATATTGAGCAAACTAGAAAGCAATTTCCTTAATGTGATAAAGAATATCTAGCATTTGGAAAGGAAGAGAGAAATTATCTTTATTCTCAGATGATACTATTGCTTGCACAGAAAATCCAAAATAATATAAATTATGAGAATAAAAAAGTATGGCAAACTTTTTATTAGAAAAGGATTAATGGCATCTTTATATACTGGCAAATCAAAAATGAAATTTTAAAAAAGTTACCATTTATAACAGTATGGAAAATATCAGCACCCAAGAATATGTCTAACAAAAAATGTATAAGAAAATTATAATGAGAGAAATTAAAGACCTAAATACACACACTTCATAAAATTACAGGATTCAATATTGTAAAGATTTCAATTCTGCCCAAATTGACCTATAGATTTAATGTAATTCCAACTAAAATCCCAAAACATTATGTGTGAGTATATGTGTGTTGTATGTGAGTTCATGTGGATGTGTGTGTGTAACTTGACAAACTAATTGTAAAATTAATACAGGAATTCAAAAGGCCAAGAATAGCCAAAATATCCCAGAAAAGAAGAATAAGGTAAAGATATTTTCTCTATCAAATATTAATATTTATATAAAGCTAAAATAGTCAAGATAGCATGGTATTGGCACAAGGACACACAAATAGAACAATGAAGCAGAATAGAGAGCTCAGAAACATACCACACATGTATCAATATTTTTATGACCCAGGTGACAATATAGACCAATGAGGAGAGGGGATTTGATGTCAATATGGAAAAAAAAAAGTGGGCCCCGACCTCACACCATACACAAAAATCAATTCCAATAGATTTAAGATTAGAATCTGAAAGGTAAAGCTCTTAGAAGAAAATGTAGGAGAATATTTTTTTTTTTTTTTTGAGACAGAGTCTCACTCTGTTGCCTGGGCTAGAGTGCCGTGGCATCATCCTAGCTCACAGCAACCTCAAACTCCTGGGCTCAAGCGATCCTCCTGCCTCAGCCTCCCGAGTAGCTGGGACTACAGGCATGCGCCACCATGCCCGGCTAGTTTTTTCTATATATTTTTAGTTGTCCAATTAATTTCTTTCTATTTTTAGTAGAGACGGGGTCTCGCTCTTGCTCAGGCTAGTTTCGAACTCCTGAGCTCAAACAATCCGCCGGCCTCGGCCTCCCAGAGAGCTACGATTACAGGCGTGAGCCACCGCGCCCGGCCAATAGGAGAATATTTTTATGACTTTGAGGTAGTCAAATATTTCTTAAATCAGACCCCCACACATCACTAATTATAAAGGAAAACTATGATTAGATTAAAATCAAGAACTTTGATTCATTGAAAGATATATGACGAGAATGAAAATGCAAGCCACAGAGGAGATATCTGTAACACATACTTGTTAAAGGGTTCATATATAAAGAACTCCTATAAATCAATGAAAAAAACTGAAATGACAGAAACCCAAAAGAAACATGAACAAAACCTTGAACAAGCACTTCAAAAAATAGAAACTCAAATGCCAAATAAATATATAAAAAGGTACTCAACCTCATTTATTAACAGGGAAATGCACATTTGAACTTCAAGGAGCTATCACTATACATGTATACTAGATTAACACAAATTTTAAAGTTTTGTGAGGATGTGGAGCAATGGGAATGCTGGTGAAGTATAAAACTTTAGAAAAGGGTTGAAGTAATACATATCCTATGATACAATAATTCTACTCCCACTCTCTTCCTAGAGGAATGCATACTTACGGACACAGGACACATACTCGAATGTTCATAGGAGCATTCTTTAAAAAGTAGAAATGTTACTCAGCTCCATTCATATATCTCACTATTCAGGAAAGAGTCTCATATTCATTAACTGAACATATCTGAAATAATGTGCTCTTATACTCTCTGTTCAAAGGCAAAGCTTTAGAGGATACCAAGAAACTAAAGAAAAGGAAAAATAAAAAACAAAACAAAGGCAAATCTCCTTCCATAAAAGCTGCTTACGTATCCAGAGTACTCAGCTTGTGAAACCCCAATTCCTTATTTTGCATTAATTTCTGAAGACCAGAAATGTCATTTCCAAAAATGTTAATGGACATGTAAAAATGATAAAACAGAATAGAAATGAATGTATATAGAAATGAAGAAATTAAACCCTAACAGAAAAATGCCATGATATCATTGGTGGGTCAATCAATGTAGATCAACAGGAAAAAAAATATTATTATAAGCTTATGTCATTGATATTACCAATCAAGTTTTGATAAGCTTTCTATTTTTCCAGTGAAAACCCCATTTTCCTCCCTGCCATTCTAAATTAGTTCAAACTCTCTCATTTTTTTTCATTTTCTCATTTTATTTTGGAGGATTGGTATATCTTTTAAAACTTCATTGATAGGAACAAATCCATTATTATTACTATTATTTTTTTTTTTGAGACAGAGTCTCGCTCTGTTGCCCATGCTTGCATGCCATGGCATCAGCCTCGCTCACAGCAACCTCAAACTCCTGGGCTCAAGCAATCCTACTGCCTCAGCCTCCTGAGTAGCTGGAACTACAGGCATGCGCCACCATGCCCGGCTAATTTTTTCTATATATTTTTAGCTGTCCAGCTAATTTCTTTCTATTTTTTTTTTTAAGTAGAGTCTTGCTCTTGCTCAGGCTGGTCTTGAACTCCCGAGCTCAAACAATCCGCCCGCCTGGGCCTTCCAGAGTGCTAGGATTATGGGCGTGAGCCACCGTGCCCGGCCCATTAACTATTGATTTCTTCTCAAGAGGCACTCTAAGCTATTAGAAAGCTTGGAAGTTTCATTTTTCAAGGACAATCTTGCCATAAAAAAACTCAGTAAGATATAGACAATCCAATGGATAGATAAGAAACAAAGAAATCAAAAGAATCAATTATTGAAATATTTGGTGCATTAAATTGGTTCAAGATTATAAAACTTGTCCGGGCATGGTGGCTCTTGCCTGTAATCCTAGCACTCTGGGAGGCCGAGGCGGGAGGATCCCTTGAGGTCAGGAGTTTGAGACTGGCTTGAGCAAGAGTGAGACCCCGTTTCTACTAAAAATAGAAAGAAATTAGCAGGACAACCAAAAATAGAAAAAATTTGCTGGGTGTGTTGGTGCACACCTGTAGTCCCAGCTACTCAAGAGGCTGAGGTAGGAGGATTGCTTGAGCCTGGGAGTTTGAGGTTGCTGTGAGCTAGGCTGAGGCCACAGCACTCTAGCCCCGGCAGCAGAGTGAGACACTGTCTCAAAAAAAAAAAAAAATAAATAAAATTATGCAACTTAAGCTTATCACTGTAAATAGAAAGGGTAAAGTCCTTTCATTATATATTGTCCATTTACTCCATAGACCAAAAACACTAAAGGCCTCTGGGGCCTGTGATCATCAGTCACAGAGCCAACATTTAGTGTTTTGTTGATGCTTAGTAGTGACGACAACAACACTGGAGCAAGCACTGTTATGGCCAATGACCTGTGCATCCAGGGTGGCTTCTTCAGTGTTCAGTTGGTACCATACCAATGAGTATGGTTTCTTGGTGTTGATGGCGGCAGAGTAGTTCTCTGCCTGAAGCTCTGCAAGCCTATAACATTATTTGTAACATCCCCAAGCTGGAAACATGCAAAATGTCCATAACTCATAGAAAAAATAAATAAATTATGGCATTTTTTACAATAGAATACGATATACTGCAAAGAAAATGACTGAACAATGGCTATATAATACAACATGGAATAAATCTTGCAAACAAAGTTGATCATAGAAGACAGACACAGGTGTGTATACTAATTATATTTGTAAAATAATAAAAATAGGCAAAACTGAACTATATTTATGGGATTCATACCTACGTGGTAAAACTATAAAGTAAAGCAAGAGAGTTATTACCAAATTAGTGGTTTCTGTTGAGTGGGAAGGTGATAGGATTATGAGAGGAACAGGTATGCAGGGGCTGCTGATGTGCTGGATTGTTCCACTTCTTGTCCTGGGTGGTGTTTACATGAATATTCACTGTATGACAACTGGTTAAATTGTGTATTTATGTTTTATGCATTTTCTCAGTGTTATATTTCATGATAAAATGGCTTAAAAGATATAATTCTGATTTCTTAATCAGTCTCTTAAGTATGCCTAACATTAGTTAGAGATCCAGAGTTTGACAGTCTTTGAGAGGATTTTAAAAGTGAGCCATAAGTTTACAAAGCTGAAGTTCCAAAATGACCCCAACTTGTGGAGAGGTGTAGTATGGAAAGACAAGTCTATACAGGAAAGAGAGAAATAGACCTGGGTTTAAATTCTGACTCCACAAGTTATTAGCTTTGCAACCTTGAACAGTTTCCTCATCTATAAAATGCTGACGCTTCAGGGTTATGGGGAGGTTTATAAGAGAGAAAGCGGACAAAGTGTTAATAAAAGATACTTACTGTATATGATTCACCTTAGGTACCAGCCTAAGCTGATGTCTCAGTACTGAGATGGCCAATAATTTCCCTCACCATGAAGGAGATTTAAAACAGAGGAAAAAAATATCTTCTCTTTTTACTAAGCTATCACTTATTCATCCCTGAAAGACTCAGTTCATTAATTCAACAAATATTATAGGGTGCCAATCATATGTAAGATATCATAATCTGTGTAGTTCTGGTCATTGTACCCTAAGAAAGATGTAGTACTGCTAGGATATGTTCAGAGTTAGAAAGTTAAAATGATTAAGGAATGTGTTTGAAGGGAAAGGCGAAAGGCTGTCTTATGAAGAAATGTGATAAAGATTTGGAATTTAATTAAAAACTGCAAAGGCTTGTGGGTATATGATCAATATTTTAAAACTTATGAAGGGTGAGGATAGGGAAGAGATTTATTTAAATAATCCTGGAATACTAGAACTTCTAGGGAGGACTTCCTTGAAGTTTGAGATAAATGAACATTTGTTTTCCTCTATATCTCCCCTACCAGACTGTGAGCGCTTGACAAGTAGGGACTTTTCTTATTCATTTTTTAAATTTTTAAAAGCTTTTTTAGAGACGGGGTCTCACTCTGTCACCCAGGCTGGAGTGCAGTGGTGCAGTCGTAGCTCACTGCAGCATCGGACTCCTAGGCTCAAGCAATGCTCCCACCTCAGTTTCCCAAGTAGCTGGGACTACAGGTATGTACCACCATACCCGACCAATTATTTTTTTAGAGACAGGTTCTGGCTATGTTGCCCAGGCTGATCTTGAACTCCTTGACTCAGGCAATCCTCCCACCTCAGCCTCCCAAATATTAATAGCTGGGATTAACAGGTGGTCCAAGCCACCATGCCTGGCTCCTCTTATCCATTTTATGTCACTTTTAAAACAAGATCAATTTATCCCGCTAGACCAGGGTTGGGCAAACTTTTCTTATAAAGAGTCTGATAGTAAATATTTTAGATTTTGTGGGTCATATGGTCTCATCACAAATATCAAATCTGCTACTGTAGTGCGAAAGCCACCATAATATGCAAACAAATGGGTATGTCTGTATGCCAACAAAACTTTATTTATAAAAACAAGAGGCAGGCAGAATTTGAAGCACAGGTCAAAGCTTGCTGATCCCTGCACCATGGGAATAAGGATTGTGTCATTTTGCCTACCATTAAACCCTTAGTGTCCACAAGATTGCTTGTCTGGCATATGAACAATGCTCAGTTAATATTTATTGAATGCTGAATTCCAGAACCTTAGAAGTTTACAGAAACTAAGTTCTTAATATATTTACAGAATTGAACTAGATCTAAAAGAAAGCACTATTTTACATGGTGGTTCATTTTGAACATTTATATGGTTCATAAAATTTAGATGGATCTGTGTATGGCAGTTCTACCTAGATTATTTTAAAACATAGGGATGTTGCCCTAATTTTTTGATGCTCTTGTGTTAGGAGGAATAACTTTGCCTCCCATTAATTATACCTTGGTGCAGTTGAGATTTGATTAAACCAATAATAATGGATACATCTATTAGGGATAAATAAGTCTAGTGATAAACAACTAGGGCAGGACATCTAGGCTTTTGGCTCAGGTCATTGACATTTAGTAAGTGCTAGAAGTTTTAGATAATGATTTCAAAAGATTGTGTAATTTAAAAACTTTTTCTAATTACAGGTTGATAGCATATATATCCCTTCAGCAGCATAGAAATTACTGAGCTCTGTCCTTACTTAGGGAAAAGTTAAGGGAAGAAGTTACCAGATAGCTGACATTGTATACCCATCTGTAGATCCTATCATGAATTATAAAGTTGAAGAATTTTGATTCATTTACCCCCAGGGGCCAACTGAGACCCTTCAATAAAGGATGAGTTACCTTAATGCTTTCTTCTTGAAGTAAGCTATTATGTTGCTTTAAGTCCAAGTTCTTTCCTCGCTCATATCGAAGCTCTTTTTCGGCTGAGTTGCACAGAACCTGGAGCCGGTGCAAATTCTGACGAAGTTGTTGAACTTCTTCTTTCTGCTTGTCTTTTAGTTTTTCTCCAGATGCTGGATACTAAAACAAACATTTTAAAAGAAAAACCATGGACAAGTCGAAAGAATATTAGTAAAACAGGTTCAAGCTGTCAGAACCAGAATCGTCAGAATGTGATTATTCACATGTCAATGTTTTTTTTTTTTTTTTTGAGACAGAGTCTCGCTTTGTTGCCTGGGTTAGAGTGCCTGCCGTGGCGTCAGCCTAGCTCGCAGCAACCTCAAACTCCTGGGCTGAAGCAATCCTTCTGCCTCAGCCTCCTGAGTAGCTGGGACTACAGGCATGTGCCACCATGCCCGGCTAATTTTTTCTCTCTCTATATTTTTAGTTGTCCAGATCATTTCTTTCTATTTTTTAGTAGAGACGGGGTCTCGCTCTTGCTCAGGCTGGTCTTGAACTCCTGACCTTGAGCGATCGATCCGCCTCGGCCTCCCAGGGGGCTAGGATTACAGGCGTGAGCCACTGCGCCCGGCCTCACCTCCTATTTTTAATTTTTTGAGGAACCTCCATACTGTTTTCCATAATGGCTGTACTAATTTACATTCCTGCCCACAGTGTTCCATTTTCTTCGTATCCTTGCCAACATTTATCTTTTGTCTTTTTGATAATAGCTATTCTAACAGGTGTGAGGTGATATCTCATTATAGTTTTAATTTGAATTTCCCTAATAATTAGCAATATTAAATATTTTTCATATACCTACTAGGCCTTTTTTATATCTTCTTTTGAGAAATGTCTATTCAGGTCCTTTGCTTATTTTTAAATTGAGTTGTTTCCTTGCTATTGAGTTCTTTGAGTTCCTTATATATTTTGGAAATTAACTCATTATCAGATGTATGGTTTACAAATATTTTCTCCCGTTTCGGGGTTGTCTCTTTACTGTTTTGTTTGCTGTACAGAAGCTTTTTAGTTTGATGCAATCTCATTTGTCTATTTTTGCTTTTGTTGCTTGTGCTTTTGGGGTCATATACAAAAAATCTTTACCAAGACCAGTGTCATATTTTTTCCCTAAGTGTCAATCAACATATAAATGGATAAAGAAAATATGGTACACACAAATACACACAGGAATACTGTTCAGCCTTAAATAAGCAAGGCACAGAAAGACAAATACTGCATAATCTCACTTATATGTAGAAAATAGTTGAACTCATAGAAGCAGAGAGTAGAATAGTGGTTGCCAGGGACTAGGGAAGCGGGGACACGGAATAGGAAGATGTTAGTCAAAGGGTGCAAAGTTCAGATAGCATGAATAAATCCTGGAGATCTAGCGTATAGCATGGTGACTGTAGTTAATAACAATGTATTGTATACCTGAAAATTGTTAAAAGAGTAGATCTTAAATGTTCTCACAACAAAAAAGTATGTGAGGTCATAGATATGTTATGTAGCTTGATCTAATCATTTCACAATGTATACATATATCAAAACATCATGTACACCATAAATATATGCAACATTTATTTATCAATTATACCTTAATAAAGCAGAAAAAAATAGAGGCACATGTATGAAACAACAGCAAGACACTCTACTATCCGGCCTCTCCAGTGCAATAAGAGTAGTGATTCTGATTTTCTACAAAAGGTAGGCACACACAGGTGTGCTGAGTAGATAAATAATTCAATCTTACACAATTCTATAGATAAGATATACTTAGAATATCCTTAGTCCTGGTCCAGTATGCTTTCTGTTTACAACTTTCTGAAAAGCCTAGGTCATTATGTTAGTTTTATCTAGCTTATGTTCCTGAAGCAACACAGAACTCCCCAGGGCCTGTTAGTCCTTCAGTTCCTATTTTGGTTTAGTTAGAAAGGCAAATCTAAATCCAATTTGCTTCTCTTAGAGCTGCAAGACTCTAAGATCTAAGATCCCTTAGAGGATTAAAGAGAAAATTCTTTAATGGATTATAATGTAATTATTAA